GATGAAAAAAATGTAAAATGAGATAAAGATAAAAATAATGTATAATAATTATAAACATATATGCACCCAACACTAGAGATCCCAGATATACAAAGCAAACATTATTGAAGGGAGAGATAGACCCCAATATAATAATAGATGTGGACTTAACATCCTACTACTCTCAGCATGGAACAGATTATCTAGACAGAAAATTAATAAAGAAGTGCTCAACTATATTGTAGACCAAATGGACCTAACAAACATTTATAGAGCATTTCATCCAACAGCTGTGGAATACACATTTTTCTCATCAGCACATGAACATTCTTCAGGGCTGATTGTATGTTATCCCACAAAACAAGAGTCAATAAATTTTTTAAAAGTCAAAATTATATCAAGTATCTTTTTTTGACCACAACAGATAAAATTAGAAATAAATAACAAGAGAAACTTTGGAAACTGTGCAAATACATAGAAATTAAACATGTTCCTGAGTATCCAATGGGCCTGTGAAGAAATAGATCAATGGATCTGTAAAGAAATTAAGAAGAAAATTTAAAAATAATTTTTTTTTTCTTTTGAGTTGGAGTCTCACTCTGTTGCCCAGGCTAGAGTGCAGTGGTGCAATCTCGGCTCACTGCAACCTCCACCTCCCAGGTTCAAGCGATTCTCCTGCCTCAGCCTCCCAAGTAGCTGGGGCTATAGGCATATGCCACCATGCCCAGCTAATTTTTACATTTTTAGTAGAGACAGGGTTTCACTCTGTTTACCAGGCTGGTCTCAAACTCTTGTCCTCGTGACCCACCCACCTTGGCCTCCCAAAGTGCTGGGAAATAAAAATAGAAACACAACATACTAAAACCTATGAGATACAGTAAAAGCAGTGCTAAGAGGGTATTTTATAGCATTAAACACCCATATCAAAACAGTAGAAAGATTTCAAATAAACACTCCTAGCTCTGCAGCCTGGAGGAGTTGATGTTCCGCGAGTTCTTGTAGGGTGAGGCCAGTGCTTCCCTCCACGGACAAGTCACGTGGTGTCTGCCCTCAATGCTTACAGGGAGCTCTGCAGGGCAGGCAGAACAGCAAACCAACCGAAAGCGTCAACCCAGGGAATATTATGAAGGGGAATAAGGATTTTGGCAAAGCAACTAGCTTTCTTGGACAGAGTGGGCTGTGGAACCATGGCTGAGGGAGGAACATTAAGCAGGGACTTAAGAAAAATGGCAGGAATAGAAATCCAAACATGCATGTTCTCACTTACAAGTGAGAGCCAAACAATGAGAACACATGGACACAAGGAGGGGAACAACCCACACTGGGGCCTGTTAGGAGAGCTTTAGGAAAAAGAGCTAATGCATGCTGGGCTTAATACCTAGGTGATGGGTTGACAGGTGCAGCAAACCACCATAGCATGTGTTTACCTATGTCCCAAACCTGCACATCCTGCACATGTACCCTGGAACTTAAAAATAAATAATAAAATAATTATAGGTATATATGTGTGTGTTTGTGTATATATGTGTGTGTATGTATATGTATGTGTGTATATATATGTATATATGTTTATATATGTGTGTATATATGTGTGTATTTATATGTGCATATGTGTGTATACATATGTGTATATATATGTGTGTGTGTGTGTGTGTGTATATATATAGAGAGAGAGAGAGAAATATGGAGCATCCAGTTCCAGGGACAGCTGAGGGAGTCCATGCAAGACATAAGGAGGGTGCATATGTTGGAGGAACTAAAACCATTTTGGCTCAATGTCATTGAAGTTGCTCACAACTTGAAACGTATTATCCTTTTGTCTTCACTTTTCATTGGCATCTCTGGCTCTCTTTTACTATGAAAGAATT